ATTGTTTCTCCCAGTGATTTAACAGAACACTGCTCAGTATTGACCCCTGCTACTTGAGCTTCTCTACCCTGGTCCACACCCTCTTCCATCCTGTATCCACTTCCTGTGACAGACATTCTTTAAGTTTTGGACTCTGATCTGGATCCACTTAATACAGTAGAGGATCCTGGAGAGATTTCAAAACAGTTACATCATTTTGTGAGCCATGAGTTTTAGGTGCTCCTTGGGCATTGAGACTGTTTTATAAACCTTAGGTTTTGAGAATTTCAGTGCGTAAAGCCCATCACTGCTAGAGTCATGAACGGAATGTCAGTAAGTCGGTGTATTTGAGGGAAGGCACCCACATTAGATTTATTTACTTAACATAGAATCTTAGGTTCCTCCCTTCCCAAATTATTACCTAGTGGGGCTGGGGATTTAGCTCAGCGACACAGCATCTGCCTGGCAAGCACAATGTCGTGAGTTTGATTCCTGGTACCGGAAAAAAAAAAAAAAAACCACCAAAACCAAATTATTACCTAGTTTGATTGTAAGTGTTCTTTTATGCTTTAGCAAGGACACATAGTTCTTGTCTTTTATAATTACAGAAAGGAGAGTAATATTTTATTTATTTATTTTTTTTGGTTTTTGGTTTTTCTCTGATACCGGGAACCAAACTCATGACCTTGCGCTTGCCAGGCAGGCGCTTTGCCACTGAGCTAAATCCCCAGCCCCAAGAGTAATATTTTAAAATAAGATCAAAGAAGGGCATAAGGCACCTGAGAGAGTTGTGCTCCAGCCCCATTCTGTGCCATGAGGGGAGATGGTAGTCAGCAAGAACCGTGGCAAGGCTGTCTAAGGTGACAGCTGTCTGCACTACCCAGGGCTGCCCTGCTTAGAACCCTCGGATGCTTCCTGCTTGTCCAGCAAAGCTCCTCTGTGACTCACGGTAGGGACCAGCCCTGGACATTTAAAAATCAGCCTTCGGGCTGGGGATATAGCTCAGTGGCATAAGCACCTGCCTGGCAAGTGTAAGGTCCAGAGTTTGATCCCTGGTACCACAAAAAAAAAAAAAAAAAAAAAAATCAGCCTTCATTTCTTTTTCACTCAGTCATCGGACCATCAGACATCTATCGGAAGCCAAGAACTCTGCTGGGTTCTCAGAATGAGCCAAGTGTAAGAATTGGTCCCTGGGGCACTTAAGGAGCTGCTAAGCTAGGGTAGAGGAAGAAGATACGTAAGCCGATCAATAAAGAGTTAAGGATGCTTTGCCTTTAAGTTGTTCAAATTTGATTAATGTATTCGTAAATGATGCTCTTGTAAAAATGGAATAGAAATTCAAAAAGACTAGTGATAGAGGAAGCCCACAGAACCGTATAAGTTGTTTAGAAAGTTAACAGTATTGACGTTTGCATTCCCAGAGAAGCTTGGTAATGCAGAGGGGCCTGCGATGGCTTTAGCTGCTCAAATGCACTGCGGTGCGTGTGTCCCTCCTCTGCCGGGTTGGTAACAGCAGAGCGTGTGGCGGCAGGGTCTTTTCATCTGCTCCTGAGTCGTATTCGCAAGCAGCGGCTACTGGATAGGAAGACAGAAACAGCTGTGCTCCCAGCCTTCGAATTTTCCTGCAGTGCCTCCTCGGTTGCTTTATCATCAGTGTGCAGCACCGGAGATCTGGGAAACGTGCTTGTTGTGCAGGGCCCCTGCAAATGGTGCAGCGGTTGAAAAATAATAAAATGCATTTATTTAGGCCTTACTGTGCACGCAGTGCTTCAAATGTTCTGTCCCATTTCATCTTTTTTTGTGGGGGGGCGTTTTCCTGTACCGGGAATCGAACTCACGACCTTGCGCTTGCCAGGCAGGCACTTATGCCACTGAACTATCCCCAGCCACCCCCCATTTCATCTTCATAGCCCCTTTCTGAAATTGGTATCGATAATCTCAGGAATGTCCACAGTAAAATCTCTGGCTGCTTACACTATTTGCTGGTCCATCTCTTGTGACCGCAGGTTCATCTTGGGAGCAGACATAAGGCAGTTCGACATCAGAGCCTTCCCCTCAACAGTTCCCGATGCCAAGAGCTGGCCAATTACTACTTTGGTTTCAATGGGTGGTCAAAAAGGATCATCAAGGTGAGCCCTGTAGACTTCCTTTGACTAACCACACCCTCTTTTCAACATCATAACCCTAGCCTTCAGGCAGAAGGGTGAATGGGTTTGAGGGGGATGTGTAGGCCAGCTGTTGCGGAGGGTGAGTGGCGGTATCCGGATTGCCTGCCCCCTGAATTAATAGTCATCTCAGTCACGTGGGCGGGGGCGCCTGTTATTTTTCTCCAGTGTTTGTGAGGTGTTTAGTAAAAAATGGTTGCCTACATCCAGTAATTCACCTGCAAATCCTATTTGATCTTGAAGCTCTCAGATATCTCAACTTTTAGCTGGGATTACTGGAGGTTAGTTTTTATTTCTTTATTATATTTTATTTTTTTTCCTTTTTTTTTTTTTTTTGGTTTTTCTCTGGTACCGGGAACCGAACTCACGACCTTGCACTTGCCAGGCAGGCGCTTTGCCGCTGAGCTAAATCCCCAGCCCCCTGTTTCTTTATTTTAAAAATCTTTGGCTGGGGCCGGGGATATAGCTCATTGGCACAAGCACCTGCCTGGCAAGTGCAAGGTCCTGAGTTCAATTCCTGGTACCAAAAAAAATCCTTGGCTGGGGCTGGGGAGGTAGCTGGGGAGAGTGCTTGGCTAGAATGTGTGAGGTCCTGAGTTCAGGCCCCAGCACTGCAAACCAGGGCAGAGACTTTTAATTCAAAATCCTGACAGCTCCAGGAGCTTTCTGACGTTGAAGGCAGGGAAGCAGAAGCTCTGGCAGCACCGCGGGGGAAGCAGAGCGTGAAGTTCCTGTGTGCTCTGGAGGTGGTGCTGCCGTCCTATGCGTGCACGAGCCCTGGCGTCGCCGTCGTGGAGGAGCCTGCGGAGGAGCTCGAGCAGGGTCTGTTCTCGCTGGGTGGACTGGGGAGGATAAGGGTCTTTGTTTCTTTCTTTTCAGAACCCACTTCTCAGCTGCCTTGTAGAGCTGCTGAAGCCCTTCCTGGGCAGCACTTTCGTGTCTAACAATACAGGTTTTTCCCTTGGGCAAAACCTGGAAGGAACTTTGTATTGAAAATTGGAACTGTCCCTCCCAGGTAGGAGCTTAGCAGGAGGAAGAAAATAGTGTTTCCCTGGTGTTTGATTATGGAGTTGTTTTATGCTGAAATAATTCTACAAATACAGATCCCTGTGGTCTTCAGTTATCTCAGCAAAGTCATCTAAAGAGTTCCATAAATTCTTGCGTGAACTTTCAGCCCTTGGCTTACGCATGGATGGGCTTGAGTAGAAAGGGGAACACGGGTGCCTGGAGAGGACGTGCGCATCGACAGTGAATGTTTGCAGAGTCCACAGCCTTCCGCTTTGGGGCTTAGTCCGCAGCCAGCTGTCGGACTGGAGCAGATAGGCTGCTGGGGCTGCTGAGCAGGGGGCGGCCAGGTCACCTGCTCTGCCTCCAGACCTCGCTGTGATTCCAGCCTGAGTACACAGCAGGCCGGGCTCCGTAGGCCGGGCGTCTCCAATGTCAGTGACTTCTGTGCCTCTGGAGATGAGGGAATGTGGCCCTGCCAGGGCCTCCCGGCCACGACCATTCCACCAGACCCTCGTGCTGTGCCTCGAGCCCCTGGGGTAACCACTCACAGTCGGGGATGTGTTGTCACCTTTAAAACACAACCGTCGTCAAGTTCCTTTCTTTGGGTTGGGTCTAGGACTGACGGCGTTGATTGCGAGAAGGAAGATGGCCCAGAAGCTTGCTGTTCAGAAGGCTTTGTCCAATGCGTTCCAGAAACTGTGCATCGTGGTTTTGGGTGAGAGACTTTCTTGTCTGTTCCGGAAGTCTTGTTTCAACAAGCAAATAACTCCTTTTGAAAAGTTGACAAAAATACAGATATTTAAAACACACTATGCTTTAACTCTAAATTCTTTCAGACATTGGTGAGAAAAAGGACAGCAAATGCTGTTGTTCCCAGTTTATTGATATCTAACAATTTGCCAAAGCTCATACAGATAGTGTTTAACTGAAGTCTTCCTTCTCTCTTTTTTTTTTGGTCTTTGGGTCTTGCTGTGCAGTTCAGGCTGGCCTTGAGCTCACTTTGTAGCCCAGGCTGGCCTCAAACTTGCAGGGATCCTCCTGCCTCAGCCTCCTGAGTGCTGGGATTACAGGCGTGCACCACCACTCCCGGCTGAAGTCTTCTTTCTCTTGTCTGTCATACTTGAGCCCTAATGCTGCCTTTGAGGTTTTTAATGTACTTTTATGTTTATAGCCAAAGAGATTTGTAGAAAATGTTATACCTCGAATCTGTGTCTCTGTCTACAAAACAAGGATAGTAATTCTGCCTTCCTTGTTGGGAGGTGTTGTAAGAACACTGGAAAGGGTGAAGGTAAAATCTCCAAATGGTGCTTACATAGTAAGTGAGAAATATGTTAATTATTATCTTTTTTTTGGTACCGGGAATCGAACTCAGGACTTCGTGCTTGCCAGGCAGAGACACTTGTGCTGCTGAGCTGTATCCCCGCCCAAACACGACTCTTAATAATCAGCCGCTTTCACGTGAGCCTTGGAAGTGTAGGATTGTTGCTCTATCAAGTGTTGCTGGGCTCCCTATTGAGTTTTACCCTGGGGTGCATGTTCCAACTTGGGGTGTTCAAAGGGAGCTTGATGAGCAGAGGCTCCCAAGGGCACCGCTGTCCTCCACAGCCTGCAGACAGACCCTGAGAAGCGCTCAGCCCGATTGGCTTGTAAGAGGTGGATCTGACTGGTCACTCAGCCCTCCAGCCTGGGCAGCCCCTCTGGTGACAGTGAGACCTGGTGCTCGTCTGCTGGGGTTCCCATCCGTGCCAGCGCTTGGTAACAGCCTTTAAGAGCCAGTGTGAATACGTAGGCTGTTTACTTCTCCGTCATACTGTGCTGTGCTGTACCTCGTGTGAACTCAGAACTCCTGGGACCAGAGCCCTGCTCTGTTTGCTGGAGGGCAGTGTGGCCAGTTGCTGGCGATGAGAGGTCGCGGTGCTTTCCCCGAAGCGCTGCCCGTTGTACCCCGTGGCGTTTTGTTCTTAGAGAGTAGGGTCTGGTGCTTGCGCATCGCTTCGGATCTGGGGCATCTTCCGGCCCTGTGGTCTCCATCCTGGACTTGAACTCGCCTGGACTCCACCCGTGTTTTCCTGTCTAGTCATCTGACCCCGTTTGTTTCCAAATTCCTGCCACGATTCCATAGTTCCTGTCTCTAAGATCACAAAGTGCTTTGAAGCAAATCGTTCCAGATGAGCTCTGGTGGCCCCCGCAAGCCTCCTGTGCTCAGAGGGGGCTTCTAGGAGGTAGTGGGGTCTCGGGCTGTGTCTTCAGTGGGTTCATTCACTGCTGAGCGCAGAGCTGAACGTGCTCGTAGGGGTCGGCGTCACGGGGCGTCACCTGGAGGCATGTGTCTCCCGCCCCACCTCCTCCCTTCTCTGCTGGCTGCTGTGACTCGCGCAGCGGCTCTCTGCCCTTCCGCCGAGCAGGCCTCGCGGCCGAGCTTGTGCAGCCATCGGCCAGAGAACTGCCGCCCGCTTCCCTAAGTGGTGGCGTCAGGTCCTTTGTCCCGGCAGTGAGGAAGGGACTGGGACAGAAACACAGATGCTGCTGTGTGCATGTTCTCAAGCAAATATCAAACTATGAGAGGAGGACATTTCTGGGAAAATGCGCTCATTTGCTTCTAGAAATCGAAGGAACGTCCCGCTTGGGTGCTGCCGCTGTACGCAGAGTTTTAGAACAAGAAAAGGTGTGAACTGGTCTCTGTGCACTCTGTTGCAGAGAGCGGGAAGATAGCTGTGGAGTACCGGCCCAGAGAGGGGGCCGGAGATGCCGGCGGTGAAGCGGAGCTTCAGGACTTAATTCAGGTGCGCGGGGTGGAAGCATTCCAGCATTAGTACTGCGGAAAACAAACCGAAGAAAAACAGGAATTACAAGTCTTCAGATACATTATTCTGAACAAAATACGAAATTGCAACCACTTTTTTTTTTTTTTTTCCCTGGTACGGGGAATCGAACTCACGACCTCACGCTTGCCAGGCAGGCGCTGTGCCACTGAGCTAAATCCCCAGCCCCTGCAACCACTTTTGAACCCTGCATTTCTAGGGCTTCTCCTAAAGCCCTGGCCCTGACTCTTGCCTGCAGTTTGGAGAGTAGAACGGCGGTCCCTCGGGCACTGCTGCTGCTGCAGTGGCCCCGAGGCAGGGCGGGGCTCTTTCAAAGGCCCCTGACCGGGGTGGGGGTCAGAGAATCCGCACCTCTCCCTGTGCAGCAGCTTTGACCTCTGTGCCCTCCCAGGGTGGCATGTTACCTAACCTCAGTGACGCCCTGCAGCCTGAGGGGAACATTTGGCTGAAGCATCTCTGTAAATCAAGCCTAGGAAAACCCTTCATCAGGGATTAAGTACCAAAGTAATTTCTGAAAGAAAATGGCCGTTACCACGCTGAGGCTGGTAGGAGGTGGACGGAGGCTTGTTTCGGCCCCCTGGGAGCTCAGATGATGCACAGCGTCCCAGAGCCGTGGCGGCGTGTTGTTTGGGAGAGCGAAGGGAGCTGCCCGCTGGAAAGGAGGGGGTTCTTCCCTGTAAAGAAGGAGGGGTTCAGTCGAAGTAAACGGGTCAGGGGAGCACGAGGCCCTGGAAGTCTGTCCTGTGGGTGTGAGCGGGAGGTCAGCGCTGGGGTCCGCGGCCTGTGACGCGTCCACTCTGAAGGAGGTGACTGAGGAGTCAGCCCGAGTTAAAGCGCCGCCCTGTGCCCGGCGTGTGCGGGTGAGGGGTGAGGAGGACGTGCCCGCTTGGACCCCGCACACCAGGCTGTGCCAGGAGTGAGCGGCAGTGAGGCGAAGTCCCGCAGGAAGGGCCGTGCGGGGAGCCCGCGTGTGCTGGTGTTGCAGGAAGGGTTTTGCCCTGCAGACCTCGCAGCCCGCGTCCGCCCCGAGTGCCGTGGAAAGTGGCGCCGTCGGGGTGGAGCCCGGTGAGGTGGGCCGCCTGCTCCATGCCAGCGTGAGAGCTGTGTGCTGGGAGCCAGACGCTCTCCGTCGGATGAACTTGCCCACCTCGGGCAGAAACTGGTGTCCGGAGCCAGCGCAGCCCGAGCCTGGCGAGGGGAAGTGAAACGCGAGCCCGCTGCTGAGTTCAGCGGGGCGGCAGCGCTGGACTAACGTGGAGTGTGTCCCGACCCACCCTCTCCGCTCACTCTGCAGGTCAGCTGCTTTGCTTGGGAGCAGCACAGCCAAGGGGAGGAAGATTTCAGGGATTTCAACGCGGAGGAGGAAGAACTCGGGCTCCTAGAGCGGGACCAGCCCTGGGGACCAGCCCTGAGCTAGGTGGGAGGCTCAGCCCCCGCCCCCGGGGCTGCCTGAGGCTGGCAGCCGGCCTTGCTGGGGTGGGGTGGGGGCTGGTCCCCGTGGGCAGAGGTTTCCCCCTGTCCCCCATCTCACAATCCCATTTGGCTCAGACCCTGCTAAAGGTTTTGTAAACACAGGTGTCACAAATAAGGGGCAGGTGGGCGAGGCTTCGCCCCGCAGCGTGGGCTGACACCCGCTGACCTGGGTCGCTGCGCCCGCGTCTGCGCGTCCTATCCCTGCTGCACGTGGCCTCGGTCTCTCGTGGCGGCAGTTGTGGCTGCTGGTCCTCTCCGAGCCCCTTCCAGAGTGGACCGCACTCCTGGTCCCACTCCACGCTGGCCCCAGGCCTAAGCTCTGGCCTTCTCTCTGCTCCCACCTGACCTGCCCACGCCCTTACCAGCCCTGCCCCTGCAGGCCCGGGGAGCTTCGATGCCTGGGTCCTCTGCCCGCTTCCAGACGCCAGTCCCACCTCAGGAGTGGGCCGAGGGTTTGTTCCTGTTCCCAGGCAGGGATTCTCCAGCTGTCCCTGGAGAAGGCCCACTTGCTGCTCCACTCGGGGCCTGCAGGATGTTTACCCGGAGGTGGAGCTGATGGAGGGGTGGGAACCGGGCCCTGCTGCTCCTCCCTGCCTCAGAGGGAGGACCGTGTGCGCTGTCCACCGGCAGCCTTTGTTCTCCTCTAGAGGCGGCAGGGTTCAGAGCAGCAGCGCTACTGTTTCCTTTGAACCTGAAGGAGCTCGCTCAGCTTTGGTGACTTGCTACTCCAGTTGGAACTCCGCATCAGCTTGCAAAACCTAAGCTTCAGAAGTGAACCTCGCAGGATGGCTGTGCAGACCCGCGTGCGGACGCAGCTAGCCACGACAGCCTTGATCTGGAATCCCAGGGGAACCCAGAGGAGCCTCCGGAGCCCTCTGGACAAACGGCACCTTCTCAGCTCCAGCCGGAGGCCCAGACCCTCCACCCAGAGACTGCCCGGGGCCAGTTCCCTCCACCCCAGCAAGAAGTCGCAGGTCAGCTCTCACAGCGCCCCCAGGAAGCGGAGCCTTCCTCCACCCAGCCGGAGGCCCAGGCCCAGCCAGCACATGCTGCTGAGGGTGTGCAGCTCCAACTCCAGGTAGGAGCAAAGCTCGTCACTCGCACTCACCACTTGTCACAGTTAATGTGGTGCTGCAGGTTATGATAACTGAGCCAGCAGCAGGCCCCAGCCGCGCCTGCACAGAGTCCTGAGGTGGTGGAACCTTCTCCAGCCCAGCAGGAGACCCCATGCCGGCCTCCAGGCTCTCTTGGGGAGGCTGAACCTTCTCCTGATCTGGAACAGCCAGCTCAGCCTTCTGAGGCTGCTGAGGAGATGGAACCTAAAGTTGCAATGCAGCCCGCAACTGCCCCGGAAGAAGTAGAACTGACGTGGTCATGACATAGAGACCACCGTGGGGACAAAAGACACACTCACTCCTGGGCCCTTAGCCTGTTGCTCATTGAATTGAAAGACACAATTTGTGTTTTCTTTGAGGACAGTCAGGGACTTAAAATCCGTGTTTGCTAAAACCTGTGGCCCATCTCTCAGGCTACACTTGCTCAGTAGGAGCCTGAAAGGAGAACAAAGCTTGGCCTTCGCCTAGCGAAGCTGTGGGTCAGATTCCCAGCTGTGCCGTGGTCGTTTAGGAAATCTCATGACACTGAGCAGAACTAAGTTTATCAGCCCTAAACTGACCTAGCCTGTCTCATTCATCCCTTTCAGCCTACGGACACCAGGATAAAACTGGTTTTCAGGATTCACAGGACATCGGAGTATCCGCTTTTACAGGTCCCTTCCACACCGCTCCCTGGAGGGGCACTGGGAGCCACTGTCCTACCCTGAGGCCTCAGGGCTCCGGGAAAGCAGCACCTCTCGGGCCTGAGCGTCACCGATAGAGACGGAGCCGAGCCTTTCGCGGACGGGACCTGGACCCGCTGCTCCAGGCGCGAGGATCCCTCCGGAGCAGGAGGCCAGGCCCGAGACAGGACTGACTCGTGACCTGCGGGACCGCACGCTGCTGGCCTTGAGAGCCGCCTGTTGCTTCATGGGTGCCGCGTCCGAACCCCGCCTCGGAGTGGGGCCTGCAGCTGCTCAGGCCCCGTTCCTTCCCCGTGCTGTGGCTTTCCTTACTAGGGGCGGGGCTTGATAAGTGTGTCACAGCTGGGCTCCCCTTTATTTTATCTTAATTAAAGCCTTTGTGCAAATTCATGCTTTTGTGTTAATTTTTGTTATCACTACAGCAAGGAGCCATGCTCACTGGTGGCCAACACCTTTTTCTTTTCCAGGTGACTGGACCCACGGCCTTGTGCATGTGAGGTGAGCGTTCTGTTGCTGGGCCTCAGCCCCACCCTGTGTGTGTCCCTTCTCTAACCGCTCAGGTTAACCTTTTTTTGTGTTTTTTGTTTTTGTCTTTTTGAGACAGGGTCTCGCTGTGCAGTTCAGGTTGGCCTTGATCTCACTTTGTAGCCCAGACTGGTCTCAAACTCACAGTGATCCTCCTGCCTCAGCCTCCCGAGAGCTGGGATTACAGGCATGCGCCACCACGCCCAGTCCACTCAGGTTAACTTGAGGCATGCTGAGCACAGTCCCACCGCTGTGCAGTGTCTGTGCTTAGGCTTAGTGTTTATTCTATTCAAATTGATTTTTTTTTTTGAGACAGGATCCTATTGTGTTGCCAAGCGGGCCTTCAACTCTTAGGTTTAAGTGATTCTCCTGCCTCAGCCTCCCAGTAGTTGGGACTATAGGCATGTGCCAGGGGTTATTGCAATATTATTTTTAATGGAAAAGAACTAGAAACAGTCTGATGGAGTAGAGTAATACACAGCTATTGAAGAGAATGAAATTGACCAGGCATGGGGGTGCATGCCTGGAATCCCAGCCCTCAGGAGGCTGAGGCAGGAGGATCACCAAGAGTTCAAGGCCAGCCTAAACTACATAGCAGGACCCTATCTTGGGAAAAAAAAAAAAAAAAAAAAAAAGGGAAAGAAAAAGAAAAAGAATAAGAATGAAGTTGATCTGACATAGAAATCTCACATACTGAGTTTTTAAAAATGAGGTGATGAGGGGCAGGGGACATAGCTCTGGGCACAAGCACCTGCCTGGCAAGTGCAAGGTCCTGAGTTTGATTCCTGGTGCCAGAAAAAAATGAGGTGAAGAATAGTGTGACGCATGGTTCCATTTGGGTAAATAAGATTATATTTCTAGACGTTTTGGTGTGCCTTGGAGACATCTGGAACCAAGTTAAGTAAGTGCAGGGGGAGTGAATGTAAGCTTCTCTCTTTCATCCTATTTAAAAAATCAGCTCAACACAAGTTACCAGAGTTCCTTGAGGATAACCTTAGAGACCTCCAGTTCTGCGTCTGTCACCCCAGCTGCATGAGCTTGGCTCTGTCCTCTCCACGAGAGTCCTCGGTTTCCCGTCTGTAAACAAGGGCGAGGTGTTCAGCCAGGGGACAGCCAGGTTGCTCCAGCCCTTCCATAGCCTTAGACATGCTCTTGTTTCTAAGATTTCATTTGGAGGCTAGGGTCCACTATTTAGATTGAAAAAAAAAAAAAAAAACAAAAAAACAAAAAACTGAGACACATCTGTCTGGGGAAGAGGAAGGAAGCTCCTACTGCAGACCCTGCCTGGCTGGGCTCGGAGAGGACTTTTGGGGCTGCTGGGAGCAGGCCTGCCTGGCTGGTGGGGCTCAGAGCTTCAAGCTTGATGGCTACCACTTCGCTCTTTCCTCTAAAGGATGGGTGGATGGGTGGGTGGATGGGTGGG